ACCAAAAAAAAAAAAAAAGGAATGCAGTAGATTAATTCACCCATTTTCCTTTCATAGTTTCACTGAGAAAGAATAAAATGTTCACTTTCTTATTGTTTTCATGCAAATTACAGTGACACTTTAGAGCTTGCTGTATACTTTCTAAATCTCAAAATACAGGGTAACAGATGTTAAGGTAAAGCTATATCTCAGATCACAATCTAATAGAAAAAATAAATATAATAGAATCATTCTTACTATTATCTGTACCTTTTTGTCTTGATCTGACAAGTTTTTCTGCTTTATTAATTTTATCAAAGTACTAGCTTTTTGTTTTATTGATTTTCCTTGCTACATTTTTGGGGTTTCTTTGGCACTAATTTCTGCCAATATTATTATTGTCTTTCTTCAGCTGCTTGGCAGGTATTCTATTTCTTTTCTAACTTCTACAGTTTCCTAACTTATTAATACCTTATAAGAGATTTTCACTATTTTTAATTTTTACTTAAAATGACATCCTCAATTAAATTTTTCAGGAAAGTATCTTGTTAGCCAAACTCCTCCAGTTTTTTCAGTATCTGAGAATGATCTGTAGTCTCAGATATAAGTTATTTCCTGTTGCATTTTACAACCATTTCTCTCTTATCTCCTAGCTTTTTTTTTTTCCCCCTTCATTACCAGGGATTGAACTCGGGACCTTGTGTGCTTGTGAGGCAGGCAGCAGAACCATTGTGCTAAATCCCCAGCCCCTCTCCTAATGTCCTTAATGTTGCAGTGGACAGCATGACTTTTTTTTTTCAATTTTATGTTTGTTTATTTTTCTTCCACTTAAATGTTTGTAGAGCTCTTCCTTCCTCCCTAGAGCTCAGTGTGTTCACAAGGATCGGTATTGTTCTTGGAGGCATGGCACTTTCCTATATCTAGTGAGTTATTGCAATCTGCAGTCAGGTCTTTAATTTGTACGTGCATGTCTTCAGCTGAAATTTCTTCAGGTAGCTTTGTTTCTTTGCTTCATGCTGAGGATCACACCCAAGGCTCCCCTCAGGCTAAGCATACAGTCTACTACTGCAGTACACACCCGCCCCACATAGCTCTTTTGTGTACCACTCACTACGTTCACATCTTCAGGGAAACCTATATCGAAGTTGGTTCTCCACTATTTGGCCTTCTGCACACCATTCTCCCTACAAGCACTTGCATCTCTTTCTCCGTTTCCACTGAATGTTTTCAAACAGGTGGAGGGGACTCTCCCAGAACCTGGAAATTCACATCTTACCGAAAATTTCTCCCTTGCCACATTTTGTTCAATTTTAGATTGGGGGGTGGTTACCAAGAATCGTACTCAGGTCCTTGCACTTGCCAGGCAGGTGCTGTGCTGCTGAGCTACATTCCCTGCTTCAGCTTCTGAATATTTAACTGCTGTTGGCACACTAAATGTGATTCAGCTTTCCCCACTGTGTCTTAAGGTTGCATAGAAATGGAGATGGGGAAAAAAAAGACAGAACTACACTATGAGCTGTAAAAGAATTTGTAAACAGTTTTACTCTATATGTGAAAAAAAAGGTTTTTTTACAGAAAAATGCAAACTATTTGTGAGTTCCCTTTCAATAGGAAAAAAAAAAGCAATTACCTACCTTTTTTTCTTGCTTAAGTATATCAAAAGCTAATTTGGCAGCAGCATTTTTCGCATCCTGCTTTGATTTACCTTCACCTTCCGGGAATGTTCTACCATATTTTTTTACAGAAAAATGCAAACTATTTGTGAGTTCCCTTTCAATAGGAAAAAAAAAAAGCAATTACCTACCTTTTTTTCTTGCTTAAGTATATCAAAAGCTAATTTGGCAGCAGCATTTTTCGCATCCTGCTTTGATTTACCTTCACCTTCCGGGAATGTTCTACCATCTATAGTAACTTGAAATGTAAACCTGGTCACAAAGAAAAGAGTCACAGTCATGAATTAGGTAAGGACAAGTCTCTGATCACCGCTGCCTCTGGTGATTGCCTTTAAAAGTTCCATCTATGTTTGGTATGGGATTTAAACAGCCACCCCAAGTAGCAAAATGGCACATCTTCAACACGGAGAAGCTTATGCTCCCCACCCTTTCTGCTTTCTTTCTGGAGTGAGCTGAGGCTACCACTTTCTAACAAGGGGACTTTCACAGAACTCTGCAAACTTTGCTAATAGAGCTAAAGTTATGCCCTCAAAGTTACACCAGAGTTGTCATGGCCCCGGTTTATATTTATGCATATAGCTTTTCTCTTTCCTTTTGGTGTTGGGAATTGAATCCAAGTCCTCACACATGCTAAGCGCATACCCTATCATTGAGCTATGCTCCCAGGCCCTAAGACACATCTCTTTGACAGCAATTTACAATAAGCTGTGCGCCGGTCCTGTCACAGACAGTTTCTGATAGGAAACTTTTGCTCCATTCTTCTGATGGTACTTATTAAGTTCTTCTATGTAGAAACCTGGTTCAAAACCATTGGCCATTTCTTCTGATAACCTATAAGAGAAGAAATGTTTGAATGAGTCACACTCACAGAACACATTCATTCTGATTTTATCAATCTGTGCAGCAGGACAGCAGTGGGTAGGGGCACTCTCCTTTATACGAATCATTTTGGCTCCACATAAATTCAGAGAAAACGTTCTGTGTGTGTGTGTGTGTGTGCTTGCCAGGCAGGTACTGTGCCACTGTCACATTCTCAGCCCCAGAAAAAAATATTCTTTCAAAGCCTCTCTTTCTCCTTTCTGGACTATACAATCACACTAATTTCTCCAAAACATTCTACTCCCAGAAGGAAGGAAGGCCCCTCTCTTTACCCTGCTGTCTACTTCCTCTGTGGATCAAGTGCAAATCTGTCCACCCACTGGGGAAGGTAACAAAGGTGCAAGAGTAGAATTGGTAATTTTACGATGAGAACAAAGCTTACTGAATATGTAAGTGAAATTTATGAAATCATGAAGGATTTTTGGTGTATGGAAGTAGATTTTCCCTATGAACTCCCCCAAATCTTCTGTTGACATGTACAGAAATCAACTTTAAGACAATTTCTACAGTTTAATGGTTTGGCTCTAAAAAGTTCCCCCAAAGGCTCATTGTTGAGTATTTAGTTGCTATGGGCTTCTGGGAAGTGTTTGGATCGTGCATTCACTAATACCATTGGATCACTAGTGAGATCATAATGTGGCATAATCTAATGCATCACATCAACAGAACCAGAGATAAAGACCACATGATCATCTCAATAGATGCAGAAAAAGAATTTGACAAAATCCCATACCCATTCATGATACATTAAAAAAAAAACACCCTACAGAAAATTGGAATGAAAGGTCTTTATCTCAATACAATATAAGATCTATGACAAGCGAACATCATACTAAATGGTCAAAAATTGAAAGCTTTCACTCTAAAATCAGGAACAAGACAAAGATGCTATCACCACTTCTGTTCAATATAGTACCCCTTCTTGGTATCTTCCTGAAAGAGTTAAAAGCATCACGCCACAGTAATATGTGCACACCCATGTTTATAACAGCACAATTTGTAAGCCAAATCTTGGAAATACCCCAGATACCCACCAATGGATGAAAGGATAAAAAATTGTGATTTTTTATATGCAATGAAATACTCCTCTGCCATAAAGGAGGATAAACTTCAGACATTTCTAGGTAAATGGGTGTACCTTGAGACCATACTTTTAAGTGAAATAATCAGATACATCTGTTTAAATATCACGTTGTAAAAAATAAAAATAAATAAATAAATAAATAAATATCACATTGTTTCTTTTGACTGAGGCTACCACTTTCTAACAAGGGGACTTTCACAGAACTCTGCAAACTTTGCTAATAGAGCTAAAGTTATGCCCTCAAAGTTACACCAGAGTTGTCATGGCCCCGGTTTATATTTATGAATATAGCTTTTCTCTTTCCTTTTGGTGTTGGGAATTGAATTCAAGTCCTCACACATGCTAAGCGCACACCCTATCATTGAGCTATGCTCCCATGCCCTAAGACACATCTCTTTGATAGCAATTTACAATAAGCTGTGCGCCGGTCCTGTCACAGACAGTTTCTGATAGGAAACTTTTGCTCCATTCTTCTGATGGTACTTATTAAGTTCTTCTATGTAGAAACCTGGTTCAAAACCATTGGCCATTTCTTCTGATAACCTATAAGAGAAGAAATGTTTGAATGAGTCACACTCACAGAACACATTCATTCTGATTTTATCAATCTGTGCAGCAGGACAGCAGTGGGTAGGGGCACTCTCCTTTATACGAATCATTTTGGCTCCACATAAATTCAGAGAAAACGTTCTGTGTGTGTGTGTGTGTGTGCTTGCCAGGCAGGTACTGTGCCACTGTCACATTCTCAGCCCCAGAAAAAAATATTCTTTCAAAGCCTCTCTTTCTCCTTTCTGGACTATACAATCACACTAATTTCTCCAAAACATTCTACTCCCAGAAGGAAGGAAGGCCCCTCTCTTTACCCTGCTGTCTACTTCCTCTGTGGATCAAGTGCAAATCTGTCCACCCACTGGGGAAGGTAACAAAGGTGCAAGAGTAGAATTGGTAATTTTACGATGAGAACAAAGCTTACTGAATATGTAAGTGAAATTTATGAAATCATGAAGGATTTTTGGTGTATGGAAGTAGATTTTCCCTATGAACTCCCCCAAATCTTCTGTTGACATGTACAGAAATCAACTTTAAGACAATTTCTACAGTTTAATGGTTTGGCTCTAAAAAGTTCCCCCAAAGGCTCATTGTTGAGTATTTAGTTGCTATGGGCTTCTGGGAAGTGTTTGGATCGTGCATTCACTAATACCATTGGATCACTAGTGAGATCATAATGTGGCATAATCTAATGCATCACATCAACAGAACCAGAGATAAAGACCACATGATCATCTCAATAGATGCAGAAAAAGAATTTGACAAAATCCCATACCCATTCATGATACATTAAAAAAAAAACACCCTACAGAAAATTGGAATGAAAGGTCTTTATCTCAATACAATATAAGATCTATGACAAGCGAACATCATACTAAATGGTCAAAAATTGAAAGCTTTCACTCTAAAATCAGGAACAAGACAAAGATGCTATCACCACTTCTGTTCAATATAGTACCCCTTCTTGGTATCTTCCTGAAAGAGTTAAAAGCATCGTGCCACAGTAATATGTGCACACCCATGTTTATAACAGCACAATTTGTAAGCCAAATCTTGGAAATACCCCAGATACCCACCAATGGATGAAAGGATAAAAAATTGTGATTTTTATATGCAATGAAATACTACTCTGCCATAAAGGAGGATAAACTTCAGACATTTCTAGGTAAATGGGTGTACCTTGAGACCATACTTTTAAGTGAAATAATCAGATACATCTGTTTAAATATCACGTTGTAAAAAATAAAAATAAATAAATAAATAAATAAATATCACATTGTTTCTTTTGTGTGGGAAACGAAGAGCGTCAATGAGGATAAAAATGGATCGTAGATATTGGAAAGTCAGAAGAAAATGTTCAAATGGGAAGGAGAACAAAGGAAGCGGGAGGGGAAAAGGAAGGAAAGGAAAATGGGGAAGGAAAAGACCAAGAAAACAGAATGGAAGGGAAAAAGTGGAAACAAAGCTTTCATAGATAAGGAGGGGGAAAAGGTTGAAGGGAAGGGAGGGAAATGGGGGAAAAAGAAGAATCAAGATATATTAAGTACAGGTACACATTCTTCATGATGAGTGTTATAATTATGTGTATTAAAAGTGTACCAGCAAAATTAATTTAAAAATAATAAAATTAAACTATTTTATTTTTAAATAAAAGACAAAACCTTTTATGTTCAAAAGAAAAAAATACAGGACTTTTATGATAGCAACATCAAGCTGACTAATATACACTGATTAGGTAAATTAAGACCTCAGTTCTTAGATCTCACTAAACAAAGATGGTAGCAATAATTTGAATCACAAACAAAATTTAAAAGATATAAAATCTGCATGTAAAAGTCAAAACTATAAAACTCTTAGAAGAAAACCTAAGTGTGAATTTTCATGACCTTGGATTATTTGCCAATGGAATCTTATACAGGGCAGCATCCCTCCATGCCTGAAAGCCACGAATCTGAGAGGCTTTCTTGAGATTTGCTCTCCTTCCCTTCCAATCCATAACTAAGACCTGCAACCAAAATCTCTCTACACCTCAGTGATGCCTACAGGCACCATTCTTATCATCCTCTCACTCCTGGACTGAAATAAGAACCTCAGAACCACTGCTAACAGCCCTTTAATTCCTACCCTGCAGGCATCATCATCTAAGGAGTTTTCAAATTCTCACAGTCCTAATAAAAATACATGCTCTTCTTTGGGTAAGTGCTCCCCAAACATCCACGTGTTATAGGCTTGGCCCCAGAACAAGTCATTGAGAGGTGGGGCTTTTTGGAAAGTCCGTAGGTCACTGGGGATACACCCTTGAAGGGGATTGTGGGACTCTAGTGGCCTATCTCCTCTGCCACCACCTCCTTTTCTCCTCTTTTTCTCCCTCTTCTTCTCCCTCTCCTTCTCTCCCTCTGAACTGGGGATTGAAGCGTACACCCTTGAAGGGGATTGTGGGATTCTAGTGGCCTATCTCCTCTGCCACCACCTCCTTCTCTCCTCTTTTTCTCCCTCTTCTTCTCCCTCTCCTTCTCTCCCTCTGAACTGGGGATTGAAGCCAGGATTTTCTCACTGAGCTACATCCTCAGCCCTTTTTAATGTTTTTTTTTTGAGACCATGTCTCACTAAGTCACTAACTTGCCCCGGCTGGGCTAAAACTTGCACTCTTCCTGCCTTGGTCTCCCAAAGTGCTGGGATTACACACATGCACCATCATGCTTGGCCTTCAGTCCTCCCTTTAATTAATTATTCCTGGAGTGAAGGGTTTGCTCTGCCATATACCCTGCCGTGATGTGGTGCCTCATCAGAGACCCAAAGTAATGGCTACTTCAACTTGGCCTGGAATCTCCAAAACTCTGAGCCAATATAACCTTCCACTTTATAAATTAAGAAGCTCAGGCATTTTATTACAGTGGTGAAAAGCTGACTAGTACATGTACATAACATGAAATTCACCCTCTGAATGATTTGTCAATGTATAACTCATCAGCATTAATTACATGCACACTGTTATGTATCTAGTACCACAATTCACATCCAGAACTCTTCTCATCTTTCCAAGTAAAATTATCATTAAACGTAATTCCCCTACTTCCCCGTGCCTTTACCCTCACTAGCGTCGGTCCTACTTTTTTGTCATTATGAATCTGCTTATTCTAGCAATCTCATAAACTGGACTCGCGTGATATTTGTCCTTTAATGTCTGGTTATTTCACTTAGCATAATATCCTCAAGGTTTGCGCATATAGTAGAATTCAGTAAAGTGCTCAATAATATTCCATTGGTTACATATACACTACCTTTTGTTTATCCATTCTTCATCAGTTGAAGGCCAAAGGTTATTTCAACCTTTTCTGTATTGTGAATAATGGTGCTATGGACACTGCCATATAAATATCTGTTTAAGTGTATAGTTTCAGATCTTTTGGATAGATACTTAAAAGTGGAGCTAAATCATATGGTAATTCTATGCTCAACTTTTTAAGGAATTGCTTAATTGGTTTGCAAAGTGGGTATAACATTTTACATTTCCACCAGCAATGCAGAAGAGTTCCAGTTTCTCCACATCCTGACCACCATCTGCTAATTTCCTTTTTTAAAAAAACAGTAGCCACCTTGTTATCTTTTAAAGATATCAATTCAATTACATAAGTTGCCAAAACTATTCTTGTCAAAGTTAGCAACTGGCTGCCCCACTAGTAAATTCAGTAGTCAGTTCTTGGTCCTTGTCTACTTGGCCTATGACCAACAATTGTTTGCTCATTTCCTTCTCCTTCTTCCTTTCTAAACTCAGGCTTCTAAATCAGCTACTCTGCTGGTTTTCAGCCTTCCTCATAAGCTATTGCTCTTCTGCCTTCTTTCCTGATCCCTCTACATCATCCTTTCTTCTATCGTAGTGTCCAGGGACGCGGTCCTCAATTCTCTTCTCTACTTACATCCACTCTCCTGATGACCATCTCCAGGTTTGTGGCTTTAAATTGGACCTAAACAATGATGGTTCTCAAAAGTCCATCTCCTGCCAGTGTGGTGGCACACCGCCTGTTATCCCAGCATTAGGGAGGCTGAGGCAGGAGGATTGCTGCAAGTTCGAGGCCAGCCTG